AACTCTCTGTAATCTGCACGCTTAGACAACTCTCTGTAATCTGCACGCTTAGACAACTTTCTGTAATCTGCACGCTTCAATAAAAATTACAGTTTGTATTTAACCTCAGTTCTCGTCTCAACTATCAAACTGTTGTTTTGGAGCAGAGGGAGTCAAAGCTCAGTTCTGGACCAGGTTTCTGACCTCATCTGCTCCTTTCGACCAGTGGACCTGAACAGAAATGGAATCCCCCAAGGCTCTGTTCTGAGCCCACTTTTATACTGTGTTCATTAAAAGTAATTCTACAACAAAGTCCATGTTTCTGCAGACCACTCTGTCCTGTTGATCAGGACTAACTGGACATCTGGTAACAGGATTTACTGTGTTTATTTATGTATAATACTAGAAATTTAACCCTGAATTYATCCATAATGTGGGGGTGAATGTTGTCCATGGGTTATTGATGCTGACATGTTTTATTCTTCTTAATCTGAAGAAATGATGATCCTATTATACATGAATAAACATGGTGTTATTTATTAGTTTGTGTGTTGTTTTTATTTAGAAGTTAGATAATATATAATAATATATTTATTATGATGCTGCTTTGTTCCAARTTGTACAACTTAATGAGACATTTCTGTTTTTTTTATCAAATAAAATCTGTCCAGAGCTGTAAATAAAGACAAGTCGTGGTTTTATTAACACTGCCTGTTGTGTGGAGGGGAGCTGAAGATGGTTAAATGTTGGGACCAAAGAAATGAGCAGCCTGCTGAAGACATCTGATAAAGTCCTTAATGTTTGTAGAATAAGAATCCAGTTCTGAAAGAATAAAGCCTTGAATGACAGAAACATTTAAATGTAAAAKAATAAAGTCTTCAGTAACACATGGTTCAGGTGAAGCAGATATGTGTGTTAAATGCAGACTATCACTGACAGTACCAGTACCACAGACACTCAGGACTCTGGAACAATCCGGATCGATACAGCTCCAGTCTTTCTCCTGGGATCGATCCTCGGTGCTGCTCTTCCCGGGGGGAGGGGTCACCAGGCCGCTGCCCCGCCCCCTGGCAGGGCCTCMCTCCCTCCCAGCAGAACCACACCCAGCCAGCAGACGTGACTCACACTGGATCCTCTGTGAGGAAACACCCAGGCAGAGCCGAACCAAAGCGGACCAGCTGAACCCGGACCCGGTTCTGTGACAGCATGAGGTTCTGTTGGAGGATAGTTTGTGTGCTGCTGCTTGTCTCTGGAGCTCTGACACAGGACGGTAAGTTGGACCGGACCAGCCCGGGTTTATTTTAGTTCTCTGCCCTTATAAGGAGCGCAGCTTCCGGCGGCTGAAAGCTTTGAAGTTGTTCTGAAACCTTCATGGACCTGAGCTGAGAGGATGTTAGCTGCTAACAGCTGCAGTCTGAGACCACCAGGTCCACAAGTGTCCCTGCTGCAGCCCCTCTGTGTCCCTCTGCCTGCTCCTAAACCTCCCTGCCTGACTCCAACAGGGTGGTGACGTCACGCGGGAGCTCATGTGACGTGGGTATAAAGTACAACAAAGTAATACTTGAGTAAAAGTACAAGTATCTTATTACCAAAAACTTACTTTGGTAAAAGTTAAAGTCTCTTTATGAATATAACTTGAGTAAAAGTACAAGTATCTTATTACCAAAAACTTACTTTGGTAAAAGTTAAAGTCTCTTTATGAATATAACTTGAGTAAAAGTACAAGTATCTTATTACCAAAAACTTACTTTGGTAAAAGTTAAAGTCTCTTTATGAATATAACTTGAGTAAAAGTACAAGTATCTTATTACCAAAAACTTACTTTGGTAAAAGTTAAAGTCTCTTTATGAATATAACTTGAGTAAAAGTACAAGTATCTTATTACCAA